TCGATCCGGTTCGCGCTGATGATGATCCACTTTTAATTTACAACAGATAATGCTAACCGATAACGTTAATACGATGTGTCACATCCGCACGGAGAGAGCTTCCTGTGTCACGTCGTCGTGTCGTTTTGCTCGCGCGAAAAACTTGCAGCGCTCAATCGCCGTCCAATCTTTCTTCTTTTTTTTTTCCCCCCTCGGATCATCATTCGGTACTGTTATCCACCGTCGGCACGCATACTCGCGGCAACTCCCCGCGAATATTAATTGATTACTGTAATGTACGACCGTCACGGTCCGATTGTTCGGTACCGTTGTTCGGTTTGTTCGCTTTCGTCCGGGGAAAATTGACGGATCGTTTTACGCGACGCAGCTGGTGCAACGAGAGTAACTATCTCGAAGAAGAAGAAGAAGAAGCAGAAGAAGAAGAAGAAGTCGCATCGCTTCTTGCGCGAATATTTGCGTTTCCAGGACCAAGCGATCTGACGTTAGTGCTATTCGTGTTATTCGAGGCTTAATCGCTTCCGACAACAACAAAGTATCCAAGCGTAATAGGCAGCGCGTTGATTTTTGCCGCGCCGCGGAAAGCGGAAAAGGTGTTGTTGCCTGCAGGTCCGCCCGTCCGATCTTCGCGGGAGTCGGTACGCAACAACCGCGCGCAGGAGCGTAATTATTCATCTCGGTTCTCATCTTAACACTTCGCAGTAATGGCCACAGATTATTGTAATTCCGACGATCGTAAATTGGCGTAATTTACTCCGGCTTCTTCTCGGTAGCGCAACGAGGTAGCTCGCCGCTCGCTCGAATCCCGCGCTCTCACCGAAAGAAAATAAAATGTCGCCGCCGGAGATTGGCACTGTTATCAGCAGTGAAACCGGTCATCGAGCGGTCGATTGCTGGTTTTATCACCGCGGAAACGCGTGAATGGAAAATGGGAATCGGCGAGGCGAGGCGAGGCGAGGCAAAAGGGAAGAAGTACCTTAAGTACCTCGGTACTTTTCTCAGGATCAAGTCATTACGGCTGATTTTTATCTCGAAAAAACGGCTCGGGGCTGAAGACAACAACGCGGTGCTTTACGGCGCGATGGACTCGTTACTCTTGAGAGGATTTAGGCGCGTTAACGGGATTACTGAAAAAACGAAAGTAAAGTGGCGGCGCGGCGGTAAGCTCGCGTCGGGTAAAAAACCGCGTCGAAGATAATAGAAGCGAGCATAAGATAGTGGGTCGCGTGAACTGGGTCAAGAGGAATCGGTGGAAAATCAGTTCATTTCACTCCTGCGAATTATATGATGAATCGAGTTACGAGGCGAACGTACGAAAGGCGAGAGCCGACGCGTCGAAGGCATACGAAGAAGGAGAGAGGAGGTCGGAGGTCGCGGATCTTCCCCATCAGTCGGGAGGTCATTATCGGTTATCTTGCGGAAATCTTAATCTCGCGAGCTGAAGGAGGTGCGTCGAAGTGCGCGAAGGACGACGGGGGGTGGCCGGTAGTGCGGCAAGCGCGTTGTAAAGGAGAAGGAGGAGGAAGCAGGGGGAAAGAAGAAGAAGAAGAAGAAGAAGAAGAAGCGGAACTCTCCCAGGATCGACGGGAGGACCGGAGGTAGTATGTAGTACCTTCTCGAGTTTAATGGTGGAAGAAGAGCGCAGGAAGAAATAAGAAGCGTCGAATAATAAGGAAGGATAAAGGAGCGGAGACGTGGAGGAAGACGGGAAGGAAGAGGGTCAGGTTCACGGACCTCGGGCCGAGATCGAGGGATTAGCGAGTGCACCACATTTGAAGCTGATAATTACGCCCGATAGTACGTGAGCGCGGAGCCGCGAATAATCTCGGGCGGGGGTAAAACGCGAAGTAGAATCACGATCGGAGCGGGCAGAGAACGGTAGAAAATAATACGCGAAATACTCTGAAGTACCCCGACACATTTTATTTGATTCAGGGCTGGCCTCATCAGCGCCGGTTAATTTTAGCCTCGGTTTAATTAATCTGTCTTGACTTGGAAGACTGGGATTAAAGGAAGATGAAGAGTAAATTAAACCACGTTCGTAAATCCTCTTTTTGAAAATTTTTTTCTGTCAAAGAAAGAAGAGGTGGAATAATATCGCTGTTAAGTTTCTAATAACGCTCGAGACTTTCTTGTTCAGAGAGAGATTTTCCTTGCCTATCCAATGGTTTCCGATGCAAAAGTCGATCTCTTTATAGCTTTCTGGCGGAACAATGCAGACGCGGAAGCGTAATACTGTATCGTCGCTTTCGAAGACGGTGACCACGCCGAGGAAAAACCACGTTGCTGTGGCAAGCTTAGGGGAAGAAGGGAACAACAGTGGGTGAAGGAAGATAAAGAAGACGAGGAAGAAGTAGAAGAGTGGTAGCTCGGCGGAGAGCGACGCGGTCGGGGTAGGAAAGCTAAGGTCACGGACCTCCTTCTCTCCGAGATCGGCAGAAGATCGGCCGCGACTCGCGCCTTCGCTACCTTCGCGAAGAACGTTTAAACTTGCTAATGGAAAAGACCGCCGTGGCTTCGTAGGGATGTTTAAAAGCGACACGCTGCACAGTCACGTAATTTACGCGTTAACTGCGCGCGCGCGCGCGCGGGATGGCCTCACTGACAGACGTTGCATAAAGTCCGCCTAGATAAGCGCCTAGGACAGGGTGACGAGTCGGGGGAGCCATTAATTCGTGGCACGTTTTGTGTCAGAGGTGACGGCCTCCGCTGAAAGAAACGAAAGTGGCTCTTCCCGCCGCGAATGCGAAGAAAAAGACGAGAGACGTCGTCGCGCCCGTCGCCGTTGGCCGTCGGGCTCACCGAGCGTGTGAGCGAGCTAGCGAGCGAGCGAGCGAGTATGCTGATGAAAACGAGTCGCTGCATATTAAACAGACAGAACAATTTCAACGAGTTGAGGAGAGGAGAGTACCCTTCGACCGTCCCCCGTGCGTGACGCGACTGCATCGCGTGGATAAAGATGAGAAACGCGGCTCGAGATTTCGAGATAATCTCTCCTACGTTTCCGAGGAGGAGGAGGAGGCCCGGTCCCGGTCGGAGATGTATGGGGTCCCGTTAAAATACCCTCGGTGATTTCCGCGGCCTTATCGTTCGATGTCATTTCGGCTCGTTTCTGTCGTCGGCAACGATGCGCAGGCTCGCCGAGGACTTGATCAACGCCTGTCAGATAGTACCTGCTAATCCTCCGGAGTGCTGCAATCCGAGCGCAGCGAGCGCGGCGCGGACTCCCGACCGGCTGCCGCTGAACATCAATTTGTCTGCCGAGGAAATAAAAGAAAGCACCCAGTCTCCCCAGTGTACTTCCTGATGCGCGCGCGCGCGCGCGCGCGCACTCGTCTACAATGTATATTAAACATTCTACCGGTCGTTCAGCGTCTGTCAGCCGACGTGGCGCTTGTTTATCTTTGCCTCGCGAGCGAGACGACTCCTGCGAGCCGCGCGAAACATGCGTGAAGGCCCTCTCCTCTTTCTCCCTGGATTCTGGTATCACCTCGAGCGATCAAATGAGCTGCTGAACCGCGTAAAAATCCACCTCGGGGGTTATTTCTCATTGAATCATCTCGGCTACTAGTCGCGTTATTTATCCTTCCATTATCATGGACGTACATATACATTAGGTTACTTGAAACTGTAACGCATAGGAAGATAACCCAAGCTACGTATACGAAGATCAGTAAATCAGAAAAAGAAAATAAATCTTTGATTTAATATTGGCTTATTTCGAGCAAATCGATATCTCCTTGAAACGTCCGGCTGAACACGGAAAATTAATGATACCAACGACGTTCGCGGAGCGTTATTAAAATGTCAGCTCTGTCATTCATTATCGAGGATCGCGACGTGATGGAGGGCTTCGTCGGTTGCCAGAGGGCTGACCGCTTAGGATGCAACCACAAAGGGTCGGTGCATCACGGTGAAATTGCACAGGCCCTCACCTCTGTCGTCTTCTCGTGAGGAACGTGGCGAACGTTTCCTTAACAGTTGCAGCGTTGCGCACGTGACGATGATACCTCGCCGTGAATTATCGCCCGATGCGCGCCGCGCTCGCTGCGAAGCGCGTGCGTTAAGTGCGGGGAAAATATTGTACACCTCGCGTATCCTCCGAGATTAATGTTGAATTACGTCCGCGACGATATCCCCGGGATTGTTCCTCGCGTCACTTCCTGCTTGTCACAACCCTTCCTAGGACGCTCGCGAGGACGTAGCCTTTGACGATTTTACAAGCCATACCAAGTGTTCCATCAGCGCATTTTTGCATTAACGAAGAATCTTCTCTGAATGGGGCACGTTCATATATAAATATATATATATATATATATATATAGAAAAAAGATTGAATCACATCGTTTAATAAATTTTATAGACTTTCTACTTTACGTCTCTCTCTCGTTAACTTAACTTTTCTTAAGGATTGGGATACGTTTCTTTCAATATATACGACTTGACGTTGTTGTCGATAATGGTGAAAGTATTTATCATGATGTTCTGTGAATAAATAGTCTAACCCAATGGGATATACATTAGCGTATATTTCCCGAGCATCGCCGCGCTCTTCGCGCTCTTCAAGGTCGAGACATTTATGACTTTATGGGGCAATTAACGTGGTAAAAACTTAGTTTGCGGATACGGCTAACTTCTGCTCATCCTTCCACACGGCAAAATCGTAAATTGTCTTGAGAATCCCTTTCTCTTACCGGGATATAATTTTACACGTCGATCCGAGCGTGATTAATACTAAATGAGCGTGAATGAGCGTATATGATAAAGATATAGTAAAAGTGCAATAGCGAAAGAAAATTCATTTTTACAATTAATGTTACAATTAAATTCATTCAGGTTTGCAAAATTTAATTTAATTTTTTAGATATAATTAATTTTCCAAGAAATTTGTAATAAAAATGGGAAAATTATATAAAAACCTCCTGATTTCTCAGGTGATATCGATCATATATTTACAAAAGTATTTCAATGTGTCTTACGGAATATCTATATTTACATTTCAGTGCAAAGCAAAGTAAGATGTACCAAGCAACTAATGGAAGTCGATATAGTGAGGAGTAGTCCGCAGGCAAAGATATATCTCCAACAATTCAAGCATTTTCCGGGTGAATGTCTTCAAACGTTTTATCTTGGGCGCTACGCATAAATCAAAATTATGGCTCACATCGAATTTCTACTTTTGCAGACGAGGCTTGTAAGCCGCAATTTCACGATGGCGTAGCCACGTTTAAATTATCGCTGCTGGAACAGGACATGCTGCGGTGCGGTATTACGAGAGTCGTCAACAAAGTCACGGTAAACCATAATTTTATTTAACAAAACTCCGTTTTAATTCCACGCCGTTTGCGTTCATTAACGTGCGACATTCCACGTGGAAACGTGGAACGTCGCGCGGCAAGTCCCCGCATTTACATAATACGAGCCGTAATGTTCTTATCGGGATTATGAATTTTGATGACGCAGGGTCAAAAGATGTATTATCATCGGGTAATAGTGGAGGAGCCTGCGGATTCCAGCAAGCACACGTTCACGGTGAAATGCGTAATCACCGAAGTTGTCGTGGAGCCAGAAATCGCCATCGCGGCCAATCACACGGCGGTACGGCGGAGCGTTCTTCCGGCGGGCTTTCAGGAACCTGAGTAAGTCATCAATCATTCGACATTAAGGCGTTTGATGTACCACGACACGTAGCATCCGGCATCCGTCATGACGTTGAGCGCAATCGCATTCGCTTTGTTGCCGCGATAAATATGTGTAATTCATCGCGGCGCAACTAATAACACGCAATAAAGTCGGAGATTGTAAGTCCTGAGTAACGCAAATAGAAGAAATCGTAAGGTGGCGCATCCTGCTAATGAGCGCATATTTATCAAATCTATTGGATTGACTTAGCAGTCTCGGGGGGGGATTCTCGGACCGCGGCTTTTCATTTCTCGCCAGTCATCCGACAGTGTTAATCGTGTCGTCGTAGTACCGCCGCGATAGACAAGACTCTCTCACACTTCCCTCGTACGAAATGATCCCCTCGGCATGAGCAAACGAGTGGGTTTAATTACCCGGAAGTTGCGCTTCTCTCTCTTGTGCGCGCGCCCGAGCGCGCGCGCGCGCGCGAGTGTGAGACAAAACCTTCTTCTTTCCGTACGGAAGTCTGACCTGCCATTTTGGCGAACGTGACAATCACGTCCCGTCGGATCAATGAGCACAGGTTCGATCATCGCGCAAAAAGCGACACTTCTTATTGGCCGCGAACGCGACGTGGAGGACTTATTACGGATAGTTTGTAAGCAAGCAAGAAGATTTATTGTCACATTAGATTAGCTTAGGCATCCTTTTCTTTCCGATCGATTTTTGTTAATTGTTATGTTTGCTGAATGCAAAGCGAGGATATAATTTGCTAAGTGATACCCGTCCTCTTCCGTTCGTCCGCGAGACAGCAGAGTCGGAAAGAAGTAGTTTCGTATCGCCGTTTCATAATCTCGACGATGATATGTAATAAATGATTTTAAGATCACTGAGTATAATGAGGCGCAATTACACGTCGTATTTCATGCCCACCCAAATAGGTGATTATCATTTCCCGCGTCATCATAAGAGCAAATCTCGTTTACGCCGTTAGCTTTGCCGAACGGGAATTAACCGCGAGGAAATATCCTATTAAATTCGCAATCCATCGATCTTCTGGGGCATGTCGAAAAATTTTTGTTCACAATCGATAAGCCGGTGTTTTAGCAGCGAAAAAGTAAAACTAGTCGTCGACCCGCTTGCCTCTGGGACTGATGTGACGACGCGAAGCAGACGGCGGTGAGGCTGCTTATCGAGGACGGTAAGATTGCGTGGAAAATTCGATGATTACGAAACGATCGACATTCCGCTCGATCTACATTCGAGCGTATAAATCGTCCGATCTGACCTGAATATGAGCGTGCAGAAGCCAGCTAGACGGGAGTCATCATCGGGAGAGTTCGTAATTTGCAAACGAGTCGAGATGCTGCCGTCTGATTTATTTGCACAACGGTCGAACGCGCGTGCAGCTGCTGGAAAACCAGTAATATATTTCAATCCGCGAAGTCTAATCGGCATTCACGCTTTTTCCTTCTTCACCTCGAAAATCACTTGACGGGTCACTTCAGCATCTAGCTCGGGGCCATTCCGGCCGGTTTGGATTTACTCGAGAAAACATGCGGTTCGACGATGCGAATAGGACAAGAAATGGGCAAGGAACGAAGATTGAGACACGGGGGGAAATCGCATTGAGCACGGCAAAAGAGACGTTGCGATTTATGGCCCGCACCACCGCATGGGAAGATGGAGGGAATAAACGTTGATTATGGAAATAAGCATCCGCGACGTGTGATTAAATAACAAATTCTTCCCTCGAGACAGTCCCTCAAAGTGAATCTTAGAATCTTAGATTCGAGTAGACAGCTTCAAGGAATTTGAAGCTGAATGCTGAAGAGTCGCAACGCGAGTGACGCATGTCTCTTTCTTTCTCACTCAAAATCTTTCTTCCGAAGGGGAGACCGACATTAAGTGCTTATCAAGTTCACCGAGGAATTTAATAGCGGGACATTCTGCATATATATATATATATATATATATATATATATATATATATATAGTAGTAGAGA